GGCCAAGTCATTGCTGGTATATACGGAGCTGTGACGTTTCCAGCTGTGGACACTTTTATCGCCATGCTGGTTCTACACGCTTGTGGCCAGCTTTCGAACTTGAAGAACGATTTGAGGAAGATTCATTTATACGATAAAAAGGAGCTACAAACAAAGTTGAAGAAAATTGTTCGGAAGCACAATTATATTAATAGGTTCGTACTAAATTTAGAGAAATTACCAACGGTCAATTAATTGGAAAAAATTCTTTTTGAGAAGATCCGACATCGGTCGATGATGGTAAAAATTGTAGAAATTGTAGGTCCCATAGATTATATAGACAAGGACATTGTTCTTGATGAGTGAAGGATTAATTTGCAAAATTCACAAGTTTTTTTACTTTACTTTCGTTTCAACTTCGGCAATTACAACAAACAGAAATTTGATCATTTTTGAACCGTACTTTCAAACTGTATTCTATCTGAAAATTATCAATTGGCAAAAATAATTTTCTGTCGTTCATTTTCGATGAAATCCATGGGGGAATATCTTGAAAAATTGACGATTTCAGAATATTATCAACTGCGAATTCTGATTAAATATAAATAAAAATAAAAAATAAAAATGTAAATATAAATAAAAAAGCAATTGAAAAATCTTGCTAACAAAAAGAAATTTTTCTAATTCCAGAAGATTAATTAGTAATTTCAATATTTACGTATTTATCTATTATTTATTACTATATCTTCTATATTCGAAACTTATTTTTCATTTGGAATTTAGTAATTATAACTTAACACTATTATAACTAAATCGTTATTATTTACGTATTGTTATTTGACATTTATTAATTTATAGATTTATAGATTTAACGATTAATTCGATCTTTAATAGGGAAAGACTCGCGAATAAAATTTTTCTAACATTTATTAATTATACCACTAAGGTTTGCCGAAACGATAGAAAATAGTTTCAACCTGCTGCTTTTGTTTCAAATCCTCGGGTGCACCGTTCAATTATGCTTCCAGTCTTTCCAAGCTATCATGGTATGAAAAAAGAAAAAAAAATATGTATTTCACAAAATTTACATTTGCACAAAGAAAGAATATTGTAGACTAATTCGTCTTTTCCACCAATATTTGATTTATAGTCAGTTGGAGAGAAGACTGAGCAATACATGATTTTCCAAATTACATTTTTGTGTTATTACGTGGTTTGCGCGATGGTGCAGTTGCTCCTGTACTGTTATGTGGGCGAGAGGCTTGCGTCCGAGGTATTGAGAAAGGAATTAATCAGTTTATTAATTTTCTGGTAAAAATTTGGACGTAATATCGATATTGAACAACGATACTAATTATTTCATAGTAAAGTTTATTTATTAATAGCTGAAACACGCGTTGAAGTTTACAATTTCTCAGAGTACAGATATAGCTGAAACAGCATATCATTGCGAATGGTACAATCTGCCTCCAGAGATCGCAAAATTACTTATTATTATTATGTGTCGAGCGAGAGCATTACCGCTGAAGATCACAGCAGGCAAATTTTGTTGGTTCACTATATCTTTATATTCCCAAGTAAGTAAAGACAAATTTCAAGTCAATATACACACTGAATTTTCCATATAGTTTTCCTTTCAAACTTAGGAAGATTCAGTCACTGATTTAAGTGGTTTTAACGATTTTATTTTAAATATAATACAAATTTTTTGGAATTATGTCCACATTTAAAAACACAGTTGAAAGATCACAACTGAAGAATGTTCAATTTCTTTGAAATATTTAAAAAATAAAATGTTTATAATCACGTGCCTCCTACCATTTTTCGAATAATTTCAAATGTAATCCTTGTTTAATAAATAAATTTATATAATTTAAAAGTATTAATAATAAATAAATTTATATAATTTAAAAGTAATGCATGTTTCAGGTTCTGAAAAGCTCAGCGTCGTACATATCCGTCCTATACGCGACAAGAAGTTAACACAGGGACGACTCCGCAATTATGATTTTATAACATGTTTTACGACTGTCTGTTACTTCCATGCACAAATACCGATTTTACTATCTACATATATCTCTAACTGGTGAACTATATTTCGCTGGAATAAGCAACGATATAACGTGTTGGACAATCGTGGGAAATAAATTCCTCGAGAGAAAGCCTTGAAAATATTGTTTTCTTTCTATTTGCATGTTGAAATCTTCTTTTTAGAAACTTTAAGCTTTCATGGACGATTCGCAGAAACGCCATCGATGAATAACTACATCTACATTATTCATGGTCTTATATTTGAAGCAATATCGTTCAAACGAGAAAAC